AAGAAATCAGTATTTGACATTCCCTTATTTTCCAAGCGAGGTCAGGGCACTCTCTGGTTTCACACTTCTGTCCCTTTAAGAAGCCCGTGTGAAGGGAGAAAGCGCTGCCGGGAAGGAGGGCGGGGCAGGAGGTCGGGGCAGGGGCGGGGACAGGGTTGTGGGTAGCAGGCTCCTCCGGAAACTCTGGATCCGGAGTGCCCTGGTAAAGAAAGCGCCTGAAGGGGCGCAAAGGCAAAGTGACTGACTTGCCCTGTGCTTTGCTCCCCAGGGTGGTGTTAGCACAGACAGGTAAGGAGAAAAGGAAGACTGTGTCTGCCCCTTTAAGATTGACTCCCGTCCTCCTCAGAGGAAAATAACGTGCTAACACTTTTGGAGTTTGCACTTTTAAATCTGTCTTCTTACTAATTAATCCAAATACCCAGTGTCCACCGCTTAGTCACATATTCATAACAGATGCTTCATTGGTGCTTGGCGTGGGAGGGGATGGCATCGACGACACTATGTCCAAAATCGTCTCGTATTTGCTCTGCTTTCTTTTTAAACCTTAGACTCAAGGGCTGACCCAATCCTTCCTACGCAATTAGTCCAATGAGGTCAGGCTGTTAAGAGAGCCTAAATTATGTTAAGAGCATAAAATATGTTAAGGGCATAAATGTGGGCATAAATATGGGCTGACACCCACTTAAAATCTATCCTGAGTTCACTGACTAGTGGCCTGACAGGCATTTTGACCCTCCTGTCTTGATATTTCAATTAATTTCCTGCGTTTAAAAGTGGGAATTTGTTTTTTTTTTTCGGGTGGGGACTTGCAGCAGATAGGATCTTAGTTCCAGGAGCAGGGATTGTGCCCCCTTCATTGGGAGTCTTAGCCACTAGACTGCCAGGGAAGTCCGTGGATTATCTTGAAAAATGGAAAGATCTGGCCCTATGTCCCAGGACAGGCAGCAGCTTGCTGGCTCCGTTGGACTGTTTTGAAACACCTTCTAGTTTGCCTACTGGCTCCGTTGGACTGTTTTGAAACACTTTCTAGTTTGCCACAGCCTCTCTGTTAATAGCAACCAGCCTGCGTCACTCATTTATCACCAGTTTGGCCCCAGGTAGGTATTTGAGTTTGGGGCCCTTACCCTTGGACAGCAAGGAGGTCAAACCAGTAAATACTGAAGGAAATCAGACCTGAATATTCATTGGAAGGACTCATGCTGAAGCTGAAGTTTCAGTACTTTGGCCACCTGATGGGAAGAACTGACTCATTGGAAAAAACCCTGATGCTGGGAAAGATTGAGGGCAGGAGGAGAAGGGAGTGATAGAGGATGAGATGGTTGGATGGCATCACTGACTCAATGGTCATGAGTTTGAGCAAACTCTGGAGGACAGGGAAGCCTGGAAGTGCTGCAGTTCATGGTGTTGCAAGAGTCGGACATGACTTAGTAACTGAACAACTCTAAATATTTGGGTGAATTTAAGACTATTAAAATATTTATGCAGAACAGACCAAAGGTCCCAAACAACTTGGTGTATAATTTGTGTTTAAACTTCTCTTCCTCATTCCTACTTATTCTTTTTTTTTTTTCATTTATTTTTATTAGTTGGAGGCTAATTACTTTACAGTATTGTAGTGGTTTTTACCATACATTGACATGAATCAGCCATGGATTTACATGTGTTCCCCATCCCGATCCCCCCTCCCACCTCCCTCCCCACCCCATCCCTCTGGGTCTTCTCAGTGCACCAGCCCTGAGCACTTGTCTCATGCATCCAACCTGGGCTGGCAATCTGTTTCACACTTGATAATATACATGTTTCAATGCTATTCTCTCAGAACATCCCCCCTTCGCCTTCTCCCAGAGTCCAAAAGTCTGTTCTATACATCTGTGTCTCTTTTTCTGTTTTGCATATAGGGTTATCATTACCATCTTTTAACATTCCATATATATATATATATATATATGGATGTTTTGATGCTGTTCTCTCAGATCATCCCACCCTCGCCTTCTCCCATAGAGTCCAAAAGTCTGTTCTATATCTGTGTCTCTTTTTCTGTCTTGCATATAGGGTTATTGTTACCATCTTTCTAAATTCCATATATATGTGTTATTATACTGTATTGGTGTTTATCTTTCTGGCTTACTTCACTCTGTATAATGGGCTCTAGTTTTATCCATCTCATTAGAACTGATTCAAATGAATTCTTTTTAATGGCTGGGTAATATTCCATTGTGTATATGTACCATAGCTTCCTTATCCATTCATCTGCTGGTGGGCATCTAGGTTGCTTCCATGTCCTGGCTATTATAAACAGTGCTGCGATGAACATTGGGGGGTGCACGTGTCTCCTTCAGATCTGGTTTCCTCAGTGTGTATGCCTAGGAGTGGGATTGCTGGGTCATATGGCAGTTCTATTTCCAGTTTTTTAAGGAATCTCCACACTGTTCTCCATAGTGGCTGTACTAGTTTGCATTCCCACCAACAGTGTGGGGAAGGGTTCCCTTTTCTCCACACCCTCTCCAGCATTTATTGCTTGTAGACTTTTGGATAGCAGCCATTCTGACTGGCATGTAATGGTACCTCATTGTGGTTTTGATTTGCATTTCTCTGATAATGAGTGATGTTGAGCATCTTTTCATGTGTTTGTTAGCCATCTGTATGTCTTCTTTGGAGAAATGTCTGTTTAGTTCTTTGGCCCATTTTTTGATTGGGTCATTTATTTTTCTGGAATTGAGCTGCAGGAGTTGCTTGTTTATTTTTGAGATTAATCCTTTGTCTGCTGCTTCGTTTGCTATTATTTTCTCCCATTCTGAGGGCTGTCTTTTCACCTTGTTTGTAGTTTCCTTTGTTGTGCAAAAGCTTTTAAGTTTCATTAGGTCCCATTTGTTTATTTTTGTTTTTATTTCCAATATTTTGGGAGGTGGGTCATAGAGGCTCTTGCTGTGATTTGTGTCGGAGAGTGTTTTGCCTATGTTCTCCTCTAGGAGTTTTATAGTTTCTGGTCTTACATTTAGATTTTTAATCCATTTTGAGTTTATTTTTGTGTATGGTGTTAGAAGGTGTTCTAGTTTCATTCTTTTACAAGTGGTTGACCAGTTTTCCCAGCACCACTTGTTAAAGAGGTTGTCTTTTTTCCATTGTATATCCTTGCCTCCTTTGTCGAAGATAAGGTGTCCATAGGTACGTGGGTTTATCTCTGGGCCTTCTATTCTGTTCCATTGATCTATATTTCTGTCTTTGTGCCAGTACCATACTGTCTTGATGATGACTGTGGCTTTGTAGTAGAGCCTGAAGTCAGGCAGGTTGATTCCTCCAGTTCCATTCTTCTTTCTCAAGATTACTTTGGCTATTCGAGGTTTTTTGTATTTCCATACAAGTTGTGAAATTATTTGTTCTAATTCTGTGAAAAATACTGTTTGTAGCTTGATAGGGATTGCATTGAATCTATAGATTGCTTTGGGTAGTATACTCATTTTCACAATATTGATTCTTCCAATCCATGAACACGGTATATTTCTCCATCTATTTGGGTCCTCTTTGATTTCTTTCATCAGTGTTTTATAGTTTTCTATATACAGCAAACATTATCCTCAATGGTGAAAAACTGAAAGCATTTCCCTTAAAGTCAGGAACAAGACAAGGGTGCCCACTCTCACCACCACTATTCAACATAGTTTTGGAAGTGGTGGCCACAGCAATCAGAGCAGAAAAAGAAATAAAAGGAATCCAGATAGGAAAAGAAGACGTAAAACTCTCACTGTTTGCAGACGACATGATCCTCTACATAGAAAACCCTAAAGAGTCTACCAGAAAATTACTAGAGCTGATCAATGAATATAGTAAAGATGCAGAATATAAAATTAACACACAGAAATCCCTTGCATTCCTGTACACTAACAGTGAGAAAACAGAAAGAGAAATTAAGGGAACAATACCACTCACCATTGCAACAAAAAGAATAAAATACTTAGGAGTATATTTACCTAAAGAAATGAAATTCCTACTTATTCTTAATCAGAATATCTTTCTATTAAGTCCAGGTTTGGTAAAGATGACTCATCAGAGGTCAGAAAGTGATTTGATAGTCTTTTATCACAATTAAATCCATAGTTTTTGTTTGTTTGTTTTGTTTTAGGAAAAAAGCAATCTTAATTACATTGATGTTTTATGCTAGGGCTATCTTTTTTTTTTTTTTTCTGGTTTGGCTTTGTCTTTGTTGCAGCAGGCAGGCTTCTCTAGCTGTGGTGCACTGACTGTGGAGCATGAGGACTCAGTAGTTTAGACAAGCAGTCTTAGTCCCAGACCAGGGATTGACTCTGTTGCATTGAAAGGTGGATTCTTAGCCACTGGACCACCAGGAAAGTCCCCATATGCTAGGGTTATCTTTATTGACCAGTCAGTATAGTTTATATATCTCTAACCACAGTTACAGTTTGATAATCTGCACAACTCTTGGCTAGATTCCATAAAGGCAAGAACTGTGTTTGCCCTGATTACCTGCTCTATTCCATCGCTAGAATCTAAGTTTCCTGAAGATGGGGACTTTTGTTTATTTTGTTCACGGTTATCAAGCACAGTGTCTATTTAAAGGAAAATGATTTATTAAATGAATGAAAGAATGTTAAGGGTATACCTTATTTTATGTAACAGGGATGTTCCTTAGGATTCTATCAAAATCAAATGCTTGTCTATTTGGTTTTCTAAATTATTAAAAGGATTCTGTTGTTCACAAAGAATGAAAAAGTTTGTTTTAGAAGATTGGGTTTTCCTAAGTTAATGCACAAAAACTTTCATCTAAAGTGAACTTGCACTTGTGCATCATCTGCTACAGAGGTAGCACTAATATTTTCTTACTATGTTAAAGGATTGGGAAGTGTCAAGAGTTTTCATTATTATTATGTTTTTAGAGGTCCAGTGACTCCAGCTGAGATCAGTTTGGCAACCAGACTCTTTCCCCAGGAGAAGCAGCTCTTATCAAGAGCACACCAGCATACCTGTGCTTTGGGACCAGACTGATGGCTTTGAGCCCAGGCTGGAGAGTGTTTGCATCATTTCCCGTGAACCGCTATGTTGTCCTCTGGAAGGCTGTGAGAAGCAGTGGCTTCCCCTTGTTTCCCTGTGGTCACTGCCCCTGGAGAGGAACTGGAAGCCTTTTGGACCCTGAGATGAAAGTTTTCCTGGAGGAGAACACTGAAGTCACCAGCAGTGGCAGCCTCACCCCTGAAATCCAGTTGCGGCTTTTGACCCCCAGATGCAAGTTCTGGTGGGAGAGAGCTGACCTGTGGCCCCTCAGGGATCCTTACTGGGCAATCTACTGGCCAGGGGGCCAAGCCCTGTCTAGGTACGTATGGCCTTAAGTGAAGCGGGAACCTTTAGGGCTCCTCACCACCTCTCTCTTTTCTGTCCCTGCCAACTCCACTTTCTCCCTGCTCCTCAAAAAAACCCCAAATTCTTTTATTAGAGTTTAGGAACACTTTTGGGTTGCTTTGTTTCATGCTTTTCCCTTCTATTCCAAGCTTACCAAGGTGTTTCCTGATATATAGTTCTCTTCCCAAGAGAAATCCTAGGTCAGCTGTCAAGACCCTAGGTAACTGGTAATGATCCAGAAATCTCACACTGTTCTCAGGTTCCTGGTTTGTGATGCCCATGCAGATCCTTGGTGGAACATGAAGCCCCCACTCCTTCTCTGGGTTTAATTCTGTAAATGTTGTTCCCTCCACCACTGCCTTTTCCCAAGCTCCCAAAGAATGAGAGATATGAGTGATTGGGACACCACTCAGGTGGACTTGAATCTGCATTTTTAAGGTCCCCCCTTCCAACTCCCCATACTGCAAATGTCTTTAAGACATTTTCTCACATATACACACAATATTTTTTATTAAAACAGTCGCTGAAACAAATTCAAGAACTTTCAGCATTTTAATCTAGTCTTTGCTCTTAGGTTGGTAAATGATTTAATTTTTTAATGCTTTCATGTTAAAAAACTGTGAAAGGAAATGTATAAGAACTTCTCTTTCACAGGAATGGTGTGGTCTAGCAGAACTCAGATTGTATTTAGTTTTAAATTTTTATTTCTTTGGCCATGCTATGTGGCGTGTGGGGTCTTAGTTCCCTGACCAGGGATCGAACCTGCATCCCCTGAATTGGAAGTATGGAGTTTTAATCACTGGACTGCCAGGGAAGTCCAGTTTGTATATAGTTTTAAATGCAAAATAAATGAGTGCAAACATAGAGCTTTTTGGAAAATCCTGAGTTCTGGAAAACTTTCCAGGTGGTATAAATTCCAATTTTCTGGCTGTTGTGTTGCCAAATTTTCCTATATTTACTTGTATCATTTAACAAAATAAGTGATATCTTTGCAAGTGATACCTATGCAAATTGTTGTATATCAACTCTAAATATAAGGGCAATCAGATTCCTTAAGAGACTGAATCAGAGGTCACAAATTGGTGATCCACAGATGTGTTTTCTCTTTAAAAAAAAAAGGATATGTTTTTGTAAACTTGTAAACTTTACATACAAACTTTAAAACAATCAGGTGCTATCACTTAAAACTTGAAGCAAGTAAAAATTTACTTCAATTGAAAAATAAGAATCTCTGGGGAGTTACTCAGCACTTTCACTGCCTGGTCCAACTTCAATGCTATTGAGGGAACTAAGATCCTGCAAGCCAAAACACCAAAAAAACAAAAAAAGAATCTCTGCTAACATCAGATATAAATCTCTGATAACACCTAATTTCTGTTGTGGCAACTGTTACCTCAAGATGGGTAACAGCTGTCCCTTTAGATGGGGCACTACACCCCTGACTTGCCATTGTTCCTTAGTCTTTTTTTGGATTGCAGGATCTCAGGGATAGGCCCTTGGCAGTGAAAATGTGGAGTCCTAACCACTGGAACACCAGGGAATTTCCTTTGCTCTTCTGCTAAGTTTCACTATTTCCTTGTCCAATCAATCCAAAGAAAAAAAATATTGGACACCTCTTACTGACCTCCCATCTGTCTTGGACTATATTTTCCCTTTTCTAATTTAGGTATCTTTTGGATAATCCTGATGTTGTCAGAGGAAAATCTGTGTTAGACATTGGGAGTGGATGTGGCGCTACAGCCATCGCTGCTAAGATGAGTGGAGCCTTAAGGATCTTGGCCAATGACATAGACCCTAGTAAGACTGTCAGATTTTTAAATATTTTGAGCTCATCTTTTTTTTTCCTTCCAGGATAAATATCTACAGTTGCTCCAACACCATAAGCCATTTCCATGTTGTATTTCATAATCTAATTTGGTGAACTCAGTGGGACATTGTCTGTGGGAACCCTGTAAGGCCTGACTTGATGGTGCATTTTTGACAGGAGGACTTCTATTTGTGTCTGGCAGATATCCCAAAGTGATACCAACTTGGGAACAGTTACTGTTGGTCATCTCTGGGATAGGGATTTCCTGAAATATGAAGGTAGTGTTTATTTGACCAAAACCCAAGTGAAGATAGATCTGGGCATTTGAGGGATATTTTATTCCATTCGAACGCAAGTTGAGACAGGTAAGTGTTAATTTACCTGATTTTCTCTAGTCTTCCCTGTCATTGAGGATCTAGCCCTTGAGGAGCCTTATTATATATAGGACTCTCAGTTCCAAGTTGTCATCCTGCTCAAACATAAGCCTTGTTTTCCTGTCTCTTGTACATCTGTAACAAACCAAAAGTCTTCATTGTTGTTGTTATTTAGTTGTTAAGTCATATCCAACTCTTTGTGACCCCATGGACTGCAGCCCGCCAGGTTCCCCTGTCCTTCACTGTCTCCCAGAGTTTGCTCATATTTATGGCCGTTGAGTCGGTGATGCCGTCCAACCATCTCATCCTCTGCTGCCCCTTTTCCTTTTGCCTTCAGTCTTTCCCAGCACCAGGGTCTTTTCCAATGAGTTGGCTCTTCCTATCAGGTGGCCAAAATATTGGGGCTTCAGCATCAGTCCTTCCAATGAATATTCAGGGTTTATTTCCTTTAGGATTGACTGGTTTGATCTCCTTGCAGTCCAAGGGACTCTCAGGAGTCTTCTCCAACACCACAGTTCAAAAGCATCGATTCTTCAGTGCTCAGCCTTCTTTAAAGTCCAACTCTGTCACATCCATACATGACTACTGGAAAAACGATAGCTTTGACTATATGGACCTTTGTTGGCTTTGTGACGTCTCTGCTTTTTAATACACTGTTTAGGTTTGTTATACCTTTCCTTCCAAGGAGTAAGCATTTTAAAAAATTTCATGGCTGCACTCTCCATCAGCAGTGACCTTGGAGTCCAGGAAAATAAAACCTGTCACTGCTTCCACTTTTCACCCTCTGTTTGACATGAAGTGATAGGACCAGATGCTATGATCTTAGTTTTTTGAATGTTGAGTTCTAAGCCAGTTTTTTTTTTTTTAAACTCTCTTCTTTCATCCTTATCAGGAGGCTCTTCAGTTCTTCTTTACTTTCTGTCATTAGAGTGGTATTATCTGCATATCTGAGGTTATTGATATTTCCCCCAGTAATCTTGATTCCAGTTTGTGCTTCATCCAGCCCAGTATTTCACAAGATGTACCCTGCATAGAAGTTAAATAAGCCAGGTTGATAATATATAGCTTTGGTGTACTCCTTTCCTAATTTTGAACCAGTTCATTGTTCCATGTCCACTTTTAACTACTGCTTCTTGACCCACATACAGGTTTCTCAGGAAACAGGGAAGATGGTTTGGTATTCCCATTTCTTTAAGAATTTTCCACAGTTTGTTGTGATCCACAGAATCAAAGGCTTTAGCATAGCCAATAAAGCAGAAGTAAATGTTTTTCTGAAATTCCCTTGCTTTCTCTATGACAGAACAAATGTTGGAAATTTGATCTCTGGTTCCTCTGCCTTTTCTAAACCAGATTGTACATCTAGAAGTTCTCCATTCACTGACTGCTGAAGCCTAGCTTGAAAGATTTTGAACATAATCTTATTAGCATGTGAAATGAGTGCAATTGTATAGTAGTTTGAATGTTCTTTGGCATTGCCCTTCTTTGGGATTGGAATGAAAACTGACCTTTTCCAGTCCTGTGACCACTGCTGAGTTTTCTAAATTTGCTGGCACATTGAGTGCAGCACTTTAACAGCATTATCTTTTAGGATTTGAAATAGCTCAGCTGGAATTCCATCACCTCCACTAGCTTTGTTCATAGTGATGTTTTGTAAGGCCTGACTTCACACTCTAAGATGTTTGACTCTAGGTGAGTGACCACACCATCATCATTATCTGAGTCATTAGGACCTTTTTTCTATAGTTCTTTGGTGTATTCTAGGCAGCTCTTCTTTTTTTTTTCCATTTATTTTTATTAGTTGGAGGCTAATTACTTTACAGTATTGTAGTGGTTTTTACCATACATTGACATGAATCAGCCATGGATTTACATGTGTTCCCCATCCTGAACCCCCCTCCCACCTCCCTCCCCATCCCATCCCTCTGGGTCATCCCAGTGCACCAGCCCTGAGCACCTGTCTCATGCATCCAACCTGGACTGGCGATCTGTTTCACAGTTGATAATATACATGTTTCGATGCTGTTCTCTCAGATCATCCCACCCTCGCCTTCTCCCACAGAGTCCAAAAGTCTGTTCTATACATCTGTGTCTCTTTTTCTGTCTTGCATATAGGGTTATTGTTACCATCTTTCTAAATTCCATATATATGTGTTATTATACTGTATTGGTGTTTATCTTTCTGGCTTACTTCACTCTGTATAATGGGCTCCAGTTTTATCCATCTCATTAGAACTGATTCAAATGTATTCTTTTTAATGGCTGAGTAATATTCCATTGTGTATGTACCACAGCTTTCTTATCCATTCATCTGCTGATGGGCATCTAGGTTGCTTCCATGTCCTGGCTATTATAAACAGTGCTGCGATGAACATTGGGGGTACACTTGTCTCTTTCAGTTCTGGTTTCCTCAGTGTGTATGCCTAGGAGTGGGATTGCTGGGTCATATGGCAGTTCTATTTCCAGTTTTTTAAGGAATCTCCACACTGTTCTCCATAGTGGCTGTACGAGTTTGCATTCCCACCAACAGTGTAAGAGGGTTCCCTTTTCTCCACACCCTCTCCAGCATTTATTGCTTGTAGACTTTTGGATAGCAGCCATTCTGGCTGGTGTGTAATGGTACCTCATTGTGGTTTTGATTTGCATTTCTCTGATAATGAGTGATGTTGAGCATCTTTTCATGTGTTTGTTAGCCATCTGTATGTCTTCTTTGGAGAAATGTCTGTTTAGATCTTTGGCCCATTTTTTGGATTGGGTCATTTATTTTTCTGGAATTGAGCTGCAGGAGTTGCTTGTTTATTTTTGAGATTAATCCTTTGTCTGTTTCTTCGTTTGCTATTATTTTCTCCCATTCTGAAGGCTGTCTTTTCACCTTGCTTATAGTTTCCTTTGTTGTACAAAAGCTTTTAAGTTTCATTAGGTCCCATTTGTTTATTTTTGCTTTTATTTCCAATATTCTGGGAGGTGGGTCATAGAGGATCTTGCTGTGATTTATGTCGGAGAGTGTTTTGCCTATGTTCTCCTCTAGGAGTTTTAGTTTCCTGCCACCTCTTCTTTGTCTCTCCTGCTTTTGTTAGGTCCTTACTATTGCTCTCCTTTATCATGCCCATCCTTGCATGAAATGTTTCCTTAATGTCTCCAATTTTTCTTGAGATCTCTAGTCTTTCTATTCTGTTGTTTCCCTCTATTTCTTTACATTGTTCATTTAAGAAGACCCTTCTTATCTCTCTTGGCTATTCTCTGGAACCCTGCATTCAGTTGGGTTTATCAGTCCCTTTCTCCCTTACCTTTTGCTTCTCTTCTTTCCTCAATCTTTTGTAAGAACTTCTCAGATGACCGCTCTGCCTTCTTGCATTTCTTTTGCTTTTGGTCACTACCTCCTGTACAGTGTTTCAAACCTCTGTCTGTGGTTCTTCAGGCACTCTGTCTACCAGATCTAATCTCTTGAATCTATTCATCACCTCCACTATATAATTATAAGGGATTTGACTTAGGTCATACCTGAATGACCCAGTAGTTTTCCCTACTTTCTTCAATATAAGCCTGAATTTTGCAATAAGGAGCTCATGATCTGAGCCACAGGATCCAGGTCTTGATTTTACTGACTGTATAGAGCTTCTCAGTCTTCAGCTGCAAAGAATATAATCAATCTGATTTTGGTATTGGTGATGATGGTGATGATCTGGTGATATCCATGTGTAGAGTTGTCTCTTGTGTTGTTGGAAAGGATGTCTGTTATGACCAGTGTGTTCTCTTGACAAAACTCTGTTAGCCTTTGCCCTGCTTCATTTTGTACTCCAAGGCCATACTTGCCTGTTACTCCAGGTATCTCTTGACTTCTAGTTTTACATTCCACCCCCCTAGGTTGACAAGGACATCTTTTTTTGGTGTTAGTTCTAAATGGTCTTGTTGAGATAAGCAAATATTCCTTAAAACCTCTCCTTTTCCAGGTGTGTAGTACTGTTTGCTTTGTTTTCAGAATAGTCATATATTTGAGCATTGTAGGCAATAGCTTATTTTGGCATATAGTTTAGGCTTCCTTACCTAAAAACACAGCTTTCAACACAAAGGGGGAAGAATCTATTGGAGATTCTCTAAATTATTTAAATTAATCAGTAGGTAATTAAAATAACCTAGCATATACCAATTCACTATGTCCTTTTTTTTTTTTAAGTTGCAGGAATGGCTATTAAACTAAATTGTGAGTTGAACCAACTGAATCCTTTTCCCATTTTAATCAAAAACATTTTGGATTTGGAACAAGATAAGTGGGACCTTGTTGTGCTTGGAGATATGTTTTATGATGAAGACCTTGCAGACAGTCTGCTTCAATGGCTGAAGAACTGCTCTGAGGCCCACAGAACTCAAGTACTGATTGGTGACCCTGGGCGACCCCAATTCAGTGGACATAGCATTCAGCATCAACTGCACAAAGTAGCAGAATATTCACTTCCAGAGCCTACAAGGCAGGATAACAATGGACTGACAACAAGCACAGTGTGGCAGTTTCAGCCTTGAGCTGTTGAAGTTCCTCCAATAGGGGATGTAGCTATGTTTGGGTTTAACCTGAAAAGATTCTCTGGTTCAAAGAAGGCAATTTGTGTTAAATGGTAAATCTTGCTTTGAAAATATGAAGGTTAAAATTTTGTCAGCCTTTGTCATATAACTTGTTCTACAGTAAGCCAAATGCAGAAATCGCTGTAATTTTTTTTCTAGTTTTACTGCTGTGCTTAATTGTTCTGTCATGTTGAACTCTTTGCAATCCATGGACTGTAGCCCACCAGGCTCTTCTGTCCATAGGGATTCTCCAGGCAAGAATACTGGAGTGTGTTGTCATGCCCTTATCCTGCTATAGGAATATAATTATACAAGGCAGTATCCAATAGTAACCACATGTAATTTAAGTAGCAGAGAGGAATTAGATTTTTTTAAAGTTTTTTGGAATTAGATGTTTTAGCAGAGTCTGTTTCTATGGTTTAGAACAACTACAATGTATCTTTGAATTAAAATAAAAAATACAGAATACTATATTTAAAAAAAATTACCTGTAAATATCAGAGATGCAGTTAGTATGGTACCGAATACATGGGCTTTAGAGTGTGACCACTCTGTCACTTTCTAGTTGGCATTTTGGGTGAGTTAAGCTCTCTTGAGATTTCATTTCTTAACTTATAACATGTTAATAGTAATAAATTTTTACTGTACTTCAAAAGGTTATTGTATTAAATGTAAGTACAAAGTGCCTAGTATAGGTTAGTATACAATAGGGCATCAATTAAGAAACATAGATTAAAAAAAAGAGTTTAGAAGATTTATAACATTGTACAAGAGACAGTGATCAAAATCGTCCCCAAGAAAAAGAAATTCAAAAAGGCAAAATGGTTGTCTGAGGAGGCCTTACAAATAGCTGAGAAAAGAAGAGAATCAAAAGGCAAAGGAGAAAAGGAACTATATACCCATTTGAAAGCAGAGTTCTAAAGAATAGCAAGGAGAGATGAGAAAGCCTTCCTAAGTGAATAGTATAAAGTAATAGAGGAAAACAATAGAATAGGAAAGAATAGAGATCTCTTCAAGAAAATTAGATATACCAAGGGAACATTTCATTCAAAGATGGGCACAATAAAGGACAGAAATTGTATGGACCTAACAGAAGCAGGTGTTGGAGAAGACTCTTGAGAGTCCCTTGGACTGCAAGGAGATCCAACCAGTCTATCCTAAAGGAGATCAGTCCTGGGTGTTCATTGGAAAGACTGATGCTGAAGCTGAAACTCCAGTACTTTGGCCACCTCATGCGAAGAGTTGACTCGTTGGAAAAGACCCTGATGCTGGGAGGGACTGGGGGCAGGAGGAGAAGGGGACGACAGAGGATGAGATGGCTGGATGGCATCACCGACTCAATGGGCATGAGTCTGAGTAAGCTCCAGGAGTTGGTGATGGACAGGGAAGCCCGCCGTGCTGCTATTCATGGGGTCACAAAGAGTCGGACATGACTGAGCAACTGAACTGAACTGAAACTGAACTGAACAGAAGCAGAAAATATTAAGAAGAGGTAGCAAGAATACACAGAAGAACTATACAAAAAAGATCTTCATGACCCAAATAACTACTATGGTGTAGTTATAGGCATCAATAATATGTGAACCAAGAACTTCCAGATGTACAAGCTGGATTTAGAAAAGACAGAGGAACCAGAGATCAAATTGCCAACATTCACCTACAGCCAGACATCCTGGAGTGTGACGTCAAGTGGGCCTTAGGAAGCATTACTACGAAGAAAGCTAGTGGAGGTAATGAAATTCCAGCTGAGCTATTTGAAATCCTAAGAGATGATGCTGTTAAAGTGCTGCACTCAAATTTAGAAAATTTGCTGCCAGCAAATTTAGAAAACTCAGCAGTGGCCAAAGGACAGGAAAAGGTCAGTTTTCATTCCAATACCAAAGAAGGGCAATGCCAAAGAATGTTCAGACTACCACACAATTGTACTCATTTCATGCTAGCAAGCTAATGCTTAAATTCCTCCAAGCTAGGCATCAACAGTATGTGAAGCTAGATTTAGAAAAGACAGAGGAACCAGAGATCAAATTGCCAACATCCACTGAATAGTAGAAAAAGCAAGAGAATTCCAGAAAACCATCTGCTTCTGCTTTATTGACTATGCTAAAGCCTTTGACTGTGTGTATCACAACAAACTGGAAAATTCTTCAAGAGATGGGAATACCACCTTACCTGCCTCCTGAGAAACCTGTATGCAGGTCAAAAAGCAAGTTACAACCAGACATGGGACAATGGAATGGTTAAAAATTGGGAAAGGAGTACACCAAACCTGTATATATTATCATCTTGCTTATTTTAACTTCTATGCAGGGTACATCATGGGAAATGCTGGGCTGGAAGAATCAGAAGCTGGAATCAAGGTTTCTGGGAGAAATATCAATAACCTCAGATATGCAGATGACACCACCCTAATGGCAGAAAGCGAAGAGGAACTAAAGAGCCTCTTGATGAAGGTATAAAAGGAGAGTGAAAAAACTGGCTTAAAACTCAACATTCAAAAATGAATATCATGGCATCTGGTCCCATCACTTCATGGCAAATAGATGGAGAAACAATGGAAACAGTGACAGACTTTATTTTCTTGGGCTCCAAAATCACTGCGGATGATGACTGCAGCCATGAAGTTAAAAGACAGTTTCTCCTGGAAGAAAAGTTATGACCAATCTAGACAGCATATTCAAAAGCAGAGACATTACCCTGCCGACCAATGTCCATGTAGTCAAAGATATGGTTTTTCCAGTAGTAATGTACAGATGTTTTGAGAGTTGGAGCATAAAGAAAGCTGAGTGCCAAAGAACTGATGCTTTCGAGTTGTGGTGTTGGAGAAGACACCTGAGAGCCCCTTGGACTGCAAGGAGATCAAACCAGTCAATTCTAAAAGATATCAACCCAGAATGTTCATTGGAAGGGCTGATACTGAAGCTGAAGCTCCAATATTTTGGTCACCTTGTGGGAAGAAGTGAGTCATTAGAAAAGACTGCAATGCTGAGAAAGATTGAGGGCAGGAGGAGAAGGGGATGACAGAGAATAAGATGGTTGGATAGCATCACCGACTCAGTGGACGTGAGCTTGAGCAAGCTCTGGGAATTGGTGAAGGACAGGGAAGTCTGATGTGCTGCAGTCCATGGAGTCTCAAAAAGAGACAGGACTGAGTGACTCAACAACAACAACAACAACATACTCAGTACTCTTATACCTTATGATGTATTTTTATGGTTTATTAAGGTCAGTAACATTTATTATACCACCAGTGCCCTGGGTTGTCAGGATCTTATATATCAATGAGAACATTAGGACATAAATGAGAAACAATGTGAAGGACTACCACTATTTGTGGGTGGGAAAAAAAAAAAGATGTGTATATACCTACATATGAATGTATGTGTAAAGGATATATATTTATTTGCAGTAGACATATTATGTCTTTGGAAAGGTAAGTAAGAAACTGATCAGAGTGCTTGTGTTCTGAAAGGGTACCAGATGGCTGATGGATGAGGGTGGGAGGGAGACCTAGTTTTTACTTTTGGGCCTTGTAATTTTGTACTGATTTTAGGTACTATATTTCATATTCTTCAATTTAAAACAAAACATGACCACAATACATATTACAAGTGCAGTATAAAATGCAACTTTGTACACACATGGGGGTTAGGGTGCTGACAATCACCAACCACCCCCTTAGAATTGAAAATCTATGTATAACTTTACATTACAAATCCAAGTTTCTGCATCTGAGGATGGATTGCATAATACTGTAGTATTTATTGAAAACCAACCAACCAAACAAAAACACATAAAGTGCAGTTCAGACCCATGTTGTTCAAGTGTCAACTGTACTCTCTTGTTCTTACTACTTAGGAATTGGTTATCACGCTTGCATTATGTGCTTTCTAATAATACACACATGCCAATGGGATTGGGATACCAGGAAGATGTGATCATAGTTACAGTAATTCAACAGAAATGTAGAGAAAGCAGTTAGGAGCAAGTTGTTGCTTAGATAGGAAAACAGGATCATTACATGGGAGTTTTGGAGCTGGGGTCACAGAGGATCTTCTGATTCCTGAATTTGGAAGTCAGAGATTACTATAACCCAATAAATCAATTCTTGTATCCAATTTCCATTGATCTACTGGGGGTCACTTATGAACTCAAAAGTTTAATTCCGCATTGGTAAACATTAATGGAAATTATAGGTTACAGTGGTATTAGATGGTATCTGAGGAGAAAGAGTTTTGTTGACATATTCTTTGAAAATTCAGGATATTCTGCTGGATAGTGTCTTTCTCAGCAGGATAAGAAGGAGAAAATTAAAGGGAATTATACTCTGGAGCACTGTTGGATATTGACTTGAAGAGGCCAAGAGTAGATTTAATTTTAAATATCTACAACCCTGTTTCTGTTATCTTCTCTTAATTATTTATGAGGAGGGTACAAGAAGGTGTTTGAGATATTCAAATATTACTTCAAATATTTAAAATCTCCCATATATATATAACAGTGACCCTTGAAATGACTTAATAGCTAACAGGTTTGTACTAAGACTGTTCACATATGAGCTTCCCTGGTGGTGCAGTGGTTGAGAATCTGAGAGTCAATTCCTAGGTTGATAAGAAGTCTGGGGTCTCCAAGAAAAAGATAGGGGTCTGGAGTTCTCAAGGAGGAGAAAAGGACAAATGTTTTTTCTTTAAATCCAGAGCTGATGATTGCACAACAAAACAACTCATCTTGCTCAAGGATATGTTTTTCCTTAAACTCTGTACCAATGATGATATAACAACAATGTATCCTGCTTAAGGACATATTTCTTCCTAAGAACCTTCTGAATAATCCTTAGAAGAAATGGAGTAGCCTCATAGTCAACAAGAGTCCGAAATGCAACTTAGAGGCAATCTCATAAATGACAGAATGATCTCTGTTTCCAAGGCAAACCATTCAGTATCACGGTAATTGAAGTCTATGCC